TTCCCATTGACAAGGACAGGACACACACCTCAGTCTCCATTGACAAGGACAGGACACACAGCTCAGTCTTTTATTCAGAAGGACAGGACAGATATCTTAAGCCCCTTTGTCACGGACACCATGAACACCTCACCGATCTTGAACTACACAGAAATCATTAACAACATTGACAGCAGTGATTTCATCTTGTTTGCGCACTCCCTCACCAGCCTGCGCGTCATCATGGGCTACGTGGTCATCTGCATCGGCCTGCCGGCCAACTGCCTGGCCATCTACGGCCTCTACCACCTGATCAAGTCCGACCACGTCATCCCCGTCTACATCATCAACCTGCTCATCTCTGACCTCCTGCAGCTGCCCTCCAACCTGGCCAGCAACATTTACGTCAAGTTTGACTTTCACCTCTACACTGACGTTTTGGTCCGCGTTCTGCTGTCGATCTTTTTCCTGGGCGTGTCGGGCAACATCGGCTTCATGGTGTGCATCGCCCTGGAGCGGTACCTGGTCATCGTCCACCCTCTGTGGTACCGTCTTCACCGCAGCATCCGGATCACCGTGCTGGTCTCTCTTGTTGTCTGGGCGCTGTGCATTTTCTGCACCATCATCATCTCCTACACGGAGGTGTACGCCGTCTACCTAACTGGGCACATCCTGTGGATAGTCATCCTGGCCGTTTCCTTGTTCCTTCTCGTCTTCTCCTACGTCTCCACCAGGAGGGCGATTGCCAGGGCCATCGCTGTCCCGGATGTGGAGAAGAGGAAGATCCTGCACGTGCTGACCCTGGTCCTGACCACCTACATCGTGCTCTTCCTCCCCTATCTTCTGTTCCACTTCCTGTTCTTCAGCGGCGTCCTCAAGACCCTGTACACGCCGGAGAACGCCAACGTGTTCGCGGTGTGCCTGACCGTGGCATCGCTGCTGATCACGCTGAACCCCGTGGTGGACCCGGTCCTGTACTTCCTGCTGCGGACCAAGGTGCGAGGGACGCTGGGCTCGTCGCACTGGCGGCAGCGGGTGATCAGACTCGTGAGCCTCTGGGGGAGGCCTGTGGTCGAGCCTGGCGAGGAGGCGGCGGCGGCGGCGGAGACGGGGGTGCCCGCCCCATCCATCGCCATATCCCGCATCTGACGGAGGACGCCAGGGGATTGTGGGCAAGCGCCCCCCCCCGCTGGTCTTTACGGGAGAGGGGCACGGGCATGCACCCAGCCCCATTCCCAACCCATGGGGCGGGCGGTCCGCAGGATCCCGGGAGCACCAGTGGGATTCTGGGGGCACGGGGTACGGGGCGCCCTTCCATGCCGGGAAAGTGCCGGCGAGTCTCACGACCGTTGCGCCGGCGTGTCAAAGACCGGTGACGCAGGAGCAGAGTGCTCTTCCTGCTCAGGGGGATTGGGGCTGATACGCCAGGTTTGAAGGCCGATGTTCAAAAGGGCGAGAATCGTTTGTTGAGAGAAACATCTCTGCTTTGCTTTTTGTTTTGTTTTGTTTTGGGGGGGGTTCCCAAGACTTCCTGTTGGCGTGAGTCTCTTAGGGAGAGTGAAATCCTGTTGCACTCCGAGCTCGATCACCAGTATCCTTCTTCCCCAGGGACACCTCCCCCCTCTCACATTTCTCTCACAGCTCAGGGTTCCTTCATTATTTTCACTGTCCACTGACTGTGAATTCTTTCAGAATTCAGCTGCAGAATTGAAGTGACATTTTGCAGACAATAGTTCTCTTACTTCACTTGTGCCATTTTACAGTGCAGTGCAGTTCTCGTACCATAAAGACATTTAGTTACTCTAATAGCCTGTGTAGTTGAGCCTTTTTAATAGTTTAATAGCTTGTAACTTTTCTTCTGTTATGCTTCTTTTAACTCTTCTTAGGCAACGTTGTATTGTAATGTATTGCCATGAATAAAGGGTCTGCTAAACAAATAAAAAATTAATAAATTTAATAATAAATGAATTTTTCAATTAATGACTTTCAGAGTCTTCAATCAAGCTTTAATCAACCCTGTTTCCTGTTTTTGGTTCTTATTGTTGCGAGAAATTCTTTAACAGAGGACTAGGAGATTGCCTGGTGTAGATTCAGCCTTTATGGAGCTCAGTACACACAGGGACACAGCGCTGGGACTGTCCTGCAGGACAGACACACTGCTGGGCTCTCCCAGCTCTTATATCAGTACAGACACGTGATCGAGGACAGTCCTGTGTGCTGTCAGTCTGTCCTGAGCTCAGCACACACTGGGACACAGTTGCTAGTTTAGTTCTTGCTAGCTGTGTTGTCACACTGTGAGTTCTTTGGCCATTATATCAGGTGGGCTTTCAGTCTTGGTGCCATATCAGACAATGTTGGCTCTGTGTGTCTAGATCGGCCTCGCAGATAAAAGCTAAATCTGCAAACAAACAGCTTCCTCTTTGATTTGTACAAGTGCAGAAAGCTTGTTTCCTGCAAAGAATGCTCACTTCCTCTTTCCTGTCATGCTCTTTGGTTTTGTTGTTAAACGCTTTGCTCTCACGACAGGCTCAAGCTAAAAACTAGAGCTGACATTCATGAAATATGAAGATATGTAGCCGTGTTCAATATTTCAAAATATTAGAGAGTGGAGTTTGAGCTGACCAAGGAGACACATAGACAGGACAGGAGGGGCAGACGAGGCAGAGAGAGGCGACATGTCCCTGTGTTCACATGTCCACAGAGAGCCACTCCTGTCCACAGCAGGGTCAGTGTCCACCTCAGGACAGCCAGGGACACTTTGTGATCAGCGAAATTAAAACATGAGCAGAGGCTCAATCCAAGTCAAAAATCTTTATCTTCCCTGTCTGGCGTTTGCACAGTCACGTGATGGGCTGCTCAGTCATATTCATGGTAGAAAGTTCAAATGCGAAGGAATCTACATTTTTATTGCAGATGATTTCTCGTGCCCGCCATGTCCTTCGCCATTTGTTCTCTCATGGTCTAAGAAAGTGTGGTTGTGTCCCCGGCAGGGACAGGGAGCGAGACATTTTGGCAGACTCACGTGAAGAACATCACCTTCAGAACAGAAGGCAGGGAGACACAGGTCTCCACATCATTGCTGCAGGCAAGGACAGTAAAAACATATTACAATGGCCTGCCACTAGAGGTCAGAAAAGGCCTCCAGTCACTGTAAAGAGACACATCGGGTGAATATTAGTTAATTGGATAACAGATGAAAGTCCTGTGTGGCTTCAGCCTTTACTGATGCCTGTTCCCCACCAGTGGCGTAATCTTATAGTTACTATTTGCTTCTAGGTCTAGCTAGTTAGTCATAACTAGTGTTACATGGGTGTGATTATAGGAATGTTTGTTATATAAAAATCTTCTCGGTATTAGCTGGTGGTTGGACCTGATGATGTAAAAATCATCACGGGGAAGGTATAACAGCATTGCACCTCCGAGTTTTTTCAATAGACTGAAACACCAGGTCCGTCCCTAATGCACTTCCTCAACACACTACCTCATCCCCCTGCTTCCAGAAGCCGTTCTCATTCGACTTTGAAATATATCAGCTCGTTCGTTTCCGATGGGCCAGGAAAAGAATGCTTCCAGCATATGTTTCCCCTCCATTCATACAAACCTGAAGTTCACTAGCAATAACAACACCCAGAAAGAACGATGGAGTGTTTTGGTCAAACTTCGGCTGAACCCTCTTGGCTGAGGGCTGACCTCCTGGCCAGAGGACGAGGGGGCTAGGAGACCCCCCATTCAGAGTGAGGGTTGACCAGGGGACAGCAGCAGGAGTGGAGATGGGGGAGGAGGAGGGATGCAAAGATGTATATAAGGAAGAGAAGTGGGTTAAATATAGTGCTTGTAATGTTTTAGGTGAGAAAATTATGACGGGAGTAATTAAGAATTACTGACAGCCGAGTCTGATTGAACTTGGCTGTTGTCATCCCTCCCGAACGTCCATCATAAACTCCATAAACCCCATGAGGATTTGTGGCTAATAACACCGAATCTAGACGTCTGTGTGGTGCTGTCTGGCCTCAGTTCTTGCGAGAATCAAAATCTGCCAGAGTGCACGATGAACGCATCAGAAAGTTGCTGTGGAGCAGCTCTGCACAGGAGTCAGGCGCATGAGCAGCACAGACACACACAAACACACACACGCTGCAAGGAGAGTCTTAATGAGAAACCAGAACTTGCTCTGAGGGGAAACAGGCGCTGACGCAAGAGAGGACAGAGAGTGTCTGCCCTGCTGCTCCGACCGGCAGTGAGAGACACCGAACTTCGGGCCTCTCCTGGGACGCCTCTCGAAGAAAAGCCTTCTTGGGCTATCGTCTTCACAGCTCCTCCAGGTAGGACGATAGTCTCCTATCATCTGTGTCTTTCTGTCCCGCGTTTGAAGAAGCAGATCCAGGGCAGGGGCCTGGTTGACCAGCAGAGGCGTGTGCTCCTTAGCTGATCTCGCTGCCGCGGTTAGGAAACAGCCCACCTGGCCCATGTCATGGTGTCACAGGGAGGGTGACTATCTTCGGGTCTGCTCCCCACCTGAACTCTTCGCTAACTCATTCGCCCGTCACGGGCTCAGCCGGTCCAATGCAGGCCCCACTTCTGCAGTTACTGAGAGACCTCCAATACTTCCTGGATTCAGTGTACCAAGAGGACTGGAGCTCTGGGAAAGGGAGTAAGAGGGTCCTGAGCAATGCTTTCTGTGAAGCAGCCGACAGCAGACTGAAGCAGCACAAGGACGGGGAGAAATCGGAGGAAAGTCCTTCTGAGAAAGAACCTTGTGCTGGAGACCTGTGATTCAGTAGCAATAAGAACTGTAGAAACTGTACTTTCTGAAAATTTGTGGGTGTAAAGCCTCTTGGTTACATACTCTCAGGTTACTATTAGCTCCCTGAGATCGCATCACACATAGCGTATTAACTTCATGTTTTTTCTTTCATATCACAAGCTGATCGCCTGTGGTAGTGAGTGAGAAACTCTGAATGTGATTCTGCTGTGACAACCTCGCTGGGGTGATTCTCTGAGATGGAGAGTCTTCTGTCTTACTCCTTGCAGAATATTGTGATGCAATTGCTCTTTTTTGTACAAGTGGGAGAACAAGATCCACCGTCCATCAGCTCAGATGATATCACTCCTTTACATACATTTGTCTAGGACTGATGGCATTGCTTTTATAATTTCCTTGAGCTTCTGAATGTGAAGTATAAAAAGGAAACACGACTGTGTGTAAAACTCTATGTATATGTACTACAAAAGATCCATATTCTATTTTCTCCAACTTTTCTCCTTCTATTTGGATGAACAGATATCCTGCATCTCCTTGATTACTGTGGACTGCGGTACCAGGACCCTTTGAAACAGTGCTGAGAGTCTGCCTCCTCTGGAGTACACACATCTCAGTCCCCCGTTGTCAAGGACAGGACACACAGCTCAGTCCTTATTGCCAAGTACAGGACACACAGCTCAATCTTCATTGACAAGGACGGGACACACAGCTCATTCTCCATTGATAAGGACAGGACACACAGCTCAGTCTCCATTGACAAGGACAGGACACGCACCTCAGTCCCCATTGACAAGGACAGGACAGACTTCTCAGTCCCCTATTGACAAAGACACCATGAACTGCTCAAGCTCTGCTGACAATCAAACAATCTTCCAGCCAATTGTGATCTTCAGAACTGTCACAAACTTGTTCGTCTTCTGCGTCGGGCTGCCAGTCAACTGCCTGGCCATTTACGGCCTGTGTCGCCTGGTGAAGTCTGGCATGGCGGTCCCCGTCTATGTCATCAACCTGCTCGTCTCCGACCTCCTGCAGCTGGCGGTGAAGCCCGTCCTCATCGCCAGACGCCTCAGCCCCTGTCCCGGGCTCCAGTTGCAGAGGGCGTACGCCGCCAGTAAGATGATCCATTTCTTCGGGCTGTGCGGCAGCATTTGGTTCATGGTGTGCATCGCGCTGGAGAGGTACCTGGTGGTGGGCCGCCCTCTGTGGTACCGGAGCCACCGCGGGCTCTGGCGCACGGGGCTGGTGTCGCTGGCCGTGTGGGCCTTCACCCTGGCGGTGGGCGGTCTGTACGTCCTCGGCCACCTTGTGGTCACCGTTTCCGAGGGGGCGGAGCTGCTGTTCCTGCTCATCCCCTACTTCCTGCCCTTCCCCCTGCTGGTGTCCTCCTGCGCTGCCACCGGGAGGGCCCTGTCTGGCCCCGGCGCTGGCGTCGTCTCAGCCAGGGAGAGGAGGAGGGTCCTGCAGACGCTGGGCCTCGTGCTGGGGGGGTACGCCGTGCTCTTCCTCCCACGCTACCTGGCGAGGTGGCTCCTGTGGGCCAAGGGCGACAGCCGCCCGGCTCAGCTCTTCTACAGGGTCACGGGCGAGCTGGTGGGCCTGAACCCCCTGCTGGACCCAGTCCTGTACATCTTGGTGAGGAAGGACGTCAGCAGCCGGCTGGGCTGCCCCTCTTGCTGTGGGAGGCCGACAGGTCGAGCAGCCAGTGGGGAGCCCCTGGACACTGGGCCGGAAGATGGCGAGACTGAGCGGACACTCTCTTGTGTTGTTTCGAGTGTCTGAGTCTACAAATAGGTCCAAAAACAGGTGCAGTGCTCTGTTCCTAACAATTGACCAGGTGTGGGGTTTAAACCCACACAGCCTTTCACTCATTGGGGTTTAAGGCTAACACCTTAACCGCTTGGCCATCCTGATTGTAGAAGGAGGAGAAGGAGGGTTTATAGAGTCATGAACATAGATTCTTACTTAAATCCAGATTTTAAACTAGGCTCTGTTCAGTGTGAGTTTCTCTTATTCTTTGAGTTTGGTTTAACTTTTTGTCATAAGAAGAGGTATACAAAAAGTGAGATGTTCTGATTTCATGAGGTATAACAGCTTACTAGGAACAGGGTTTGAACCCACGCAGACCCTTGTCCAACGGATTTTAAACCCAACACTTTAACCACTCGGTCACCCTGGCCCTACGGAGTCTACTTGCCACACAGTTCTAGTATAAAGATTTTCACTTCAGGGTCACGGGTCTTCAAGATGCCGGACTCGCTTTTCTCAGGACTCATTGCAATGAGAACCGCGTTAGTAGCTCCGTGTCCTTATCCGGTCTCTTTCAAATTGCGAGGGACGTTCGGTTATATACTGTGCGAACAGGAGAGACAAGGTAACAACCCTATATTAACGGGTCCTGCATATTAATTTACTGATCAGATGAATTGAAATGTTCTGATTCACAGCTCCTGCAGTTCGTGCTCAGGGCGGAGCTCGCGAGATGCAGTAGAAGCATTTTCGGTGTGTAGTTCTTAGTGCTTCCTTCACTGGTGCTCTACGGAGAAAAGATGAGAAAATATCTCTGATATATTTATTATATTTCTGCATTTTTATACCGATAAAGAAAAGCTGGATTCGAACCCACACCTCCAGGGGAGACTGCGACCTGAACGCAGTACCTTAGACCGCTCGGCCACCCTGACTGCTGATATCACCCCCCAGCCGGTCACATCAGCCACCGCGACCCCAGTACGTTCCTCAAGTGTCACACTGGTGTTAGAAATACAGCGAGACTCCGGCATTCAGATCTGTCGGAGATGCGCTGGGTTTGATAAGCAAAAAATGTTCATGAAGGAGGTGGAACACTGCTGTGTATTTTCCTAATTTTGAGCCGTTCTGTGTGGCGCCTTGTTTCTCCTCAAAGACATTACTGAGGTGCTTCTCTGTTTAGGAGACTTAAATAGAATTCTAGTCCACCACCTTAACCACTCGGCCACAACTACACACGAATTCTCTACTTCCCCCGAACTGACACGGGCTTGTTCCCACGTAATTTCCACTCCAACCCGCTCTCTTCATGCTCAGTTTTGGGATTTCTATCTCTCTATACCGATCTAGGGGTATGATTCTTGCTTTGGGTGCAAGAGGGCCCAGGTTCAAATCCCGGATGAGCCTGTCTTTTTTTCTGTTATTATAGGATGACATATTTTTAAAATAATGAACTCTGAGTGGTTAAGGTGTCGCCACCACAGGAACTTAGTAAACCAGCCCTCTTCGGTAGCACAGCAGAGCCAGTGTCGTGAGGTTATAGCCAAGTGCTGTAGCTGACGGGCTGACTGCTGGTTTACAAGATCCGGTGGTGGAGACACCTTCACCACTCGGAGTTTATTATTTTAAAAATGTGTGAGTGAACATGAGCGTCATAGCGAGGGATCGAACTGTGTTTATCTCGTATTCGGCGTGGAAGTGAAGAACACGTGTGTGTGTGAGTGAACGTCTCACGCCCCATCTGTGATGGGCCCAAAACAACACCACCCCCTGCCCCGTGTGAGGATCGAACTCACGACCTTCAGATTATGAGACTGACGTATGAACTCACATGTGGTTTAACATAAAACTGTCAGAGCCACACCATCCGCTGTCTCAATAAATCCCAATCTGTCATTTCGGATCACAGCCATTCCGGAACAAACTGTTCTCCCCCCTGTGCTCCGGCAAGCGGTACCGCGCTGATAAAACAAGGTCCACTGGACTCTAGAACAGCTTCTATCCCACTGCAGTGCGCGTCCTCAACAGCTAACTGCAGGGCCTCAGACTCAATGCATGTCCACACTCTGCTCTTTCTCATGGTCTACTATTTGTTTTTCTCACTACTACTACACACTTATTGTCCCACAACATATTGATGGCTCCTGTTGTTATTTATTGTTTGTAATGTACTGTCTCCATTGTG